ACGAAATATTAGGTCCTAGGTTGATAGTTTTCCATCATTGAAGTCTTATACTGATATATTTCAATTTTTGGGTCTCGGGTTGATAATTCATCCATCTTTCAGATATTGAATTGATAAAATTACATAATTAAAAATCACTTTTAAAATAGAAGCAATGGCAAACACATTCTAGTTCAAAATGCAACTTTGGTGTCATTAAAAAAACACGCCCAACTAACGGGAAATTCTATTGGCAACCCTTAATTTGCTATCCACAGCCTCCTAAATTATAAAAAGTCTAAGTTACCCTTAGATATTAACTTAAGTTCTTGAAATCCCTCGCACATGATCCACAGTGATCCTCCACGAAGGAATCCTCGTCACGGCAGAGAAGTAGCTACTAGCTACAATCGTCGATTAAGCTCTGAGAAGAACATCCATGACCTCATATTGAACGTAGGTGGCTGTGGTGCGATTTTCGTTGCTGCCCCATCCACTGGTGGTGCCGCTGCTGCTCCGTCGGGTGAAGAGAAGAAGAAGGTCATTGAGGAACAGAGTGAAGAAAAAACGGGATGGGCTTGTTTGATGATTAGTCTGAAATTTCTTTGAATCTTTGATAATTTTATCATACTCGAATGGAGAATTTATAAACCCCATCATCATTGAAATATCTATTAAATCTAAGTGAATCTGTTTTTGTAATGCCTAAAGTATACTACGTATATACTTGTATATCGAAGGCCTTTGATATCTATTCCTATGTTCATACTATACGCTGGGGTAATGATATCTCATGTGGGATGAAGCTTGATTGACCACAAATGGGTGGCAATCTGATGTGGGATGTCGGGCCTGGAAGGTGAGTCCTCGTTAGCCGCAACCCGTAGGTGAGCCCTCGTTGCCAGTCTTGAAGCCCCTCATCTACATCTCAGCCTTCACCGTCGGTTGCCAGTTCCAACAATCTTCATCTTCAGTGGTCCTGTATGGCGGCTTACTTTTCTCAGCAACAAAGAGATAGACTGTAGAGCGTAGACTACTATGTGCTGGTAGAAGCCATGCGAAGGAGCCGAAACGGAAAATGCTAATTTATTCTTGTAAAGGATATAATTGGAATAAAAAAATAACCAATGGGTGTGTTTAGCAAATAAGTGGCTGTGGTTAGAATCACAGGTACGAAATTTTAAAAAAAATAGATTTGTTCTTTAATTTCAACACATTTTCTATAGACATGAGTTTCTATCTTCTAGATTTTGTACTATTTAAAAAGCCTGTAACAACTTCTGGTTGTATATTCATGACAACCTTTAGAAGCTACACTGAGAGCCTATTTGGTAACACTAAAATCGGCAGAATCAGCTGATTCTGCTGAAATTTATGAAGTTCTAACCGAAGTGAGTATATTGGTTGATTTTGTTGATTTATGAAAAAATTACATTTGAAGTATATACTTTTGATGGATCGCCGACCTGAGGGTGGACAGAATCCGGGAAGTAATGGAGAGACTGAAAAGTGCTAAGTAAGATCGAGTAGGGAATTTGGCAGAGTAACGGCAATTTCTTAGAGCAAAATTCGGATCTCTTTCCACATGTTGAAAGGTGATATTTATACTAAAGGAAAAATATTTGGCCAACAAAGCAAATTAATATGGCGATGAAACGTGTCTCACCTGCCTAACAAGAATGAATGTGCTAATCTAATAGTATGGTTACATGTGTAAAGGTGATTGGAGATATACCCTAGACAGTTGACTGATTGGTACTGTGTGTAACAAAATTCGATCCTATCAATTTAAGATCTCATGTTTCATACGTAGTATGCTTTTACTTCTTTAGTTTTTTATTAATTTTATTGCTGATTTTTGATAAACTTTTATTCACAAAACTTTATTAGTTTCATAAAACTAAATAATATTTAAAAATTCTAAAATAATAAAAATTAATAAAATACATTACAACTTAGGTCCTAAATTGATAATTTGCAATCATTCAGGTTTTAAATTAATAGTTTTCCATCATTCGAATCTTATATCGATACATTTCATCTTTCAGGTCCCCTCGATAATTGTTGTTGTTGAGAATATTGAACCAAGAGTTGTGGGGAGTAAGATTCCCAAGTCTCTCTTACTCTTTATTCCTAGGGCCAATTTAGTTCATATCAAGTAGACAGTACATTCCATTCCTGAGGGTCCCTAAGAGCATCTTTAATGCTAAAACGTTAACGGTGCATACGTGGCATAAGAAATAACCAATTAAAAATCAATAAATAGAATATCTCTCTCCTTATTTGAAGGATCTTACATCATTTTGGTAAGTTTTTCTTCACAATGTCAAGCACAATGTCTAGATGTAGACATTGTGGTTGACATTGCAGACACAAACTTACCCAAAAAAACGCATAAGACCGTGGAAAGAAGGAGAGAGAAATGTCATAAAATTAATATTTTGTGTCTATCTCTCTCATGTCACATGTGGACCGTGCACATTGTAGCATTGGAGATGCTCTAATATCGACCGGACCACACGGTGTGAGGAGGTAAATTAGATAATGACAAGTAACTTACCTCTATTAGAACCGCGACTAACCCATGTGACACGGTGACACCCTCGCTGCCAGGTGAGCTTCAACCATCCGTAGGACATCCCTGCGAGAGTCCGGTAAGGCAGCAGGATTTTATTTCCTTCCCCCGAGTTGAGAACAGAGGACGGTCCACCACCCTAGCTATTGGACTTTGATCTTTACCGATTCAGGCTGCCTAGAGTAACATTGTACTATGACAGTATTTTTTACGGTTATTGGTTCTGAAAAAACACAATACTTTATTTTAGAATTTTCCATTATTATATCACTCTCACAAAAATCCATTATTACTCGCGATTTATACCGTGCAACCGGCATACCATGTGTATGATATGCCCGGTTCTAATACGGTGTCGTTCTTATGCAATTAAAATTGTTTCTCAAAATTTTATTCTTCCCATGCTTCCACTAACTTTTTTCCACTAACTTTTTTTCCTTGCTTTTTCTCTTGTGCTGCTTTTCGTTTTGAAAATTGAAGCAAGTTCTATTGCTTTGATGTAATAGGCTGCAATGAATCAATTCAGATTAATACTTCGTATAAACTTCTCCGTTCAGATTAATCTAACATGCTTTGATCGATGAGGTTAATTGGTTTTTACGTATAAAATGGAGTTACACTCTTTAATACAAATTTACATCTTAAGTTACATGGAGTTACATCTTTTTATGAACGAGTTACATATTCATGTGCATGAGTTACATCTTTTTATAAGCGAGTTACATTTGGACTTACCTCAACAACTTACATTTGTCATCAACACGAATTACATTTATAATAATTAGACTCTTTTTTTCATTGTTTACATTGAAATCGATGTTTTATTTCGTATACTATGTATTTGACACGTTACATCTCATTTGGGCTTGAGTTACATTGATCAAGAACTCGAGTTACATATCTTTACACGCGAATTACATCATCCATGCTACTAGGATGAAAATAAAAAAAGCACTGTACACGCGTGTACTGTTCACGTGTGTACTGTTCACGCGAATTTTTATTATTATTTAAAATTGATCAAAACTAAGGTGTTGTTCTGTTCGTCTTATTCTTATTACTTATTGCTTATTCTTATTTTATTCAGATCAGATCAGATCAGATCAGAAAAATTCAGATCAGATCAGATCAGATCAGAAAAATTCAGATCAGATCAGATCAGATCAGAAAGATTCAGATCAGATCAGATCAGATCAGAAAGATTCAGATCAGATCAGAAAGATTCAGATCAGATCAGACCAGATCAGAAACATTCAGATCAGATCAGAAACATTCAGATCAGATCAGATCAGAAAAGTTCAAACATGATTTATCATTTTTATTATTATATTAAATATTAATTATTATTATTAATATTGTTATTACTATTATGATTATTATTATTATATAATAATTATTATTATTAATATTAATAATAATATGATAAAAAAAAAGATATTAATATTAGTTATAATATTTTAATATAATAATAGTAATATAAATGCAATTGTTAAGAAGACTATTATTATTATTATTACAATATTATAATAATAATAATATGATTAATATTATTATAATATTATATTATAATTATATGTAATTATAATTATAATTACAATTATAATTCTTATAATTATAAGTATAATCAATTGTAATTATTATAATTATATCTATAATTAATTATAAATATAATTGTAATTAATTATAATTATAGTAATTATAATTATAATTACAATCATAATTATAATTATGATTATAATCATAATTATAATATAATATTATAATAATATAATACTAATTATAATAATAATCATATTATTATTATATTATTGTAATAATAATATTATTATATTATTGTAATAATAATATTAATATAATAATGTCGTTATAATAATATTAATTGTATTTATATTACTATTATTAAATTATAATATTATAATTAATGTTAATATAATTATAATTATTTTTAATTATAATTATAATAATTATAATTATACTTATAATTATATTATAATTATAATTTATGATTATAATTATTATTTTTATTATAATTATTAATATTATTATTATTATTACTATTGTAATTATTTTACGGAGTAATTATAATAATATTGATAACTATAGTTACAATTATAGAGATAAATATTGTAATTATAATTACAATTATAATTATAATTTTATTTAAATTATATTTGTAATTGCAATTATAATAATTATAATTATAATTATAATTATAATCATAGAAATATTCGAATCAGAATAGATCAGAAGGATTCAGATCAGATCAGAAACATTCAGATCAGATCAGAAAGATTCAGATCAGATCAGATCAGATCAGAAAGATTCAGATCAGATCAGATCAGATCAGACAGATTTAGATCAGATCAGATCAGATCAGAAAAATTCAGATCAGATCAGATCAGAACTTAAAAAATTCAGATCAGAAACATTCAGATCAGGCGAAGAGAACAGTTTCTAAGTCGTTTTGGGGTGTGGAACATGGTGCTCACCATGCTACCGTTGCACGGTATACGGACTGATTATTACTGAATTTGTTTTGATGTTGATCTGAATTAGCTAGAGTTCTCAATTAGGGACGGAGAAGAATTTAAATCCCTACTCTAATCCGTATTACTCTGATTTTTAGAGAAAGTAAGATGGCCGTTTCAGCTGCTAGTCCTGCTACACTAGCTCATCGTTTTCTGCCACGAAATTGCGATCACAAGCGTGTGCAATTTTACTCTTTAGTGAAGTATCCACCACGAAGAAGGGCCATTTTCTGCAATTTCGAGGCGATTGAATTTGAAGAAAGAATGAGTCCCAACGAGGTATTGATCATGATTTTCCATATTTATTTATTTTCAAAGACTGGACAGTAGCATCAAGCATGTCATTCTTTTCTTTGGTTGAGTCAACTAGTTACGGCATTAGTGACTTTGGATTTTGTTCTGCATTAGTTGGATCCTGAATTTGCTCCGAAGGGGAAAGATTGACCTCTCTCCTCAGCTAACAGACTACGGGCGAGATATAGAGGTGGATATTTCAGATTAGTTTTTTAAGAAATTGCCTTAAATAAGATAAAAAAAAGTTATCCTATTTTGAGTAATTAATGTCATGTTCTAATATTACAGGATTTAAGCCTGCCATTATTTTTCAAGCTACAGTAATTAGGATTTTTTACTTGGACTATTTTCAGTTCTAGAACAGACCAGATCAGACTTAAACAAACTAGACCAGATTTCAACATTTATAAAATACACAAATACCAGACTTACAATATTAGACCGGACTAGAAAATTCAATCCAATTAATAACATCTTCATTCTTCACTCCTATTTAGGAAATGAAAACATTGTAATCCTATTCTTGAATTCCACAATGGTTTTACTCTTATTTCGAGAATTTTCCCTTTTTCAATTTTGATTTTGGTTTTGAATGAGTTTGGAATAATTACCAACTCTAAAACGTATTAGGATTGTGTTCCGTTAGGATTTGGGGTTTATTGAATTTAGCGTGCCTAATGGGAAGAGTTGTCCGAGCATAAGGGTAAGCACTCATATGATCATTTCTAGTTACCAGCCACGGATTGAGTTGGAACTTGCAATCCTTTGCTGAAATATTTGTCTCAAGTACAAGATTTTATGTTCCTTTTATAAGGTTAACTAGATGGAGTCCTTGGTATCAAAGTCAAGTCATATTGTAGTTTGATTGTATGTTTGACACTCATTATATAGGCTAGCTTTTTAGAGTCAACTAACTCAAGTTGTCTACTTCCATTTGGTTTGTGTTAGAAGTATTTGATCCTAAATACCCTCATGGAAACCACTTCCCTCACTTGGAGAAAATTAAACTTTACTCGAGTAGTTACACAACCCATAAAATATGGGAAGTTCTGTACGTTCCAGAAAAGAGGTCAAAGTTGTTGTCGTACTGCCTTTTGAAATGGCAAAAGAGTCCCATGAGCAATGAACCAAGTTTCCTTAGTTCTGTAGACTAACAATGTTGCATTTGATGAAACAGGTGAAGAAGGAAATGGAGCAATGTTATGAACTGATACACAGGCTTGGCAGGGGTGTTGTGTATTTGGGCTCTTCAAGGGTGGGTCCTGATCATCCACACTACACACAAGCATTTGAATTGGGAAGAGAGGCAAGTTTTTACTCCTCCGTCTTCACCAAGATACACTGGTTGAAAAATCATCATTTTGAAATGTTTTTGGAAAATGGAAACTAATAATCCAACCTTTTAGCGGTCTTCTTTTAATAGTCCGACCTTTTCGTTATTCATAAATAATCCAACCTTTGCACCACATCTTCATTCATTGGTCCCCGACCGGTTGATGACCTGCTATTCCGAGTTATTTTCTCTATCGTTATTTTCTCTATCTCTGCAAACTATTATACCATAAATTTCACCTTTCACAAAGATAATATTTTGTAAAGATAAGAAAATAACTTGGAATAGAAGGTCATCAACCGGTCAGGGACCAGTGAATGAAGATGAGGTGCAAATGTTGGATTATTCATGAATAACGTAAAGGTGGGACTATTAAAAGAAGGCCGCTAAAAGGTTGGATTATTAGTTTCCATTTTCCCAATGTTTTTAATATTTACAGGTTGATTTTAACACACTTGTGATATTTTTTACTAAGAAAAGCGTAACATAGAAAAGATTTCTTAAAATATAGTTAAGTACTTAAGTTAAAGCATAATAGATATGAGAACCTTAAATTGGGATGGAGGCAGCAATATTTATGTAAAATCCCTTAAATTTAATGAAAATATGTTTGTTTGGTTTAACTAAGATCCTTTTTGGGAATCTTTTTTGTGGGGTGGCTGATCACTGACGGAGCATTTCTTTGGTGTGAACCATTTTAGTTTCATTTGATGAAAAAAGAAACAAGGGAATGGGAAAGTTTCATATTAAGCATTTCAAACATTTGAGTTCTTATTGGAGCAGGTCGCTACCCTTTTAGATTGTACGTCATGGTCGGGGGTCGGACCTGGCCTCATGGATGCTGTGACAAAAGGTGCCCTACAAGCTGGAAAGGCTGTTGGTGGATTTAGGATAAGTAAAGAAGCTGGGGAATGGACATCAACCAAGTTTCATCCATACTTGCCATCAGAAACATACCTCACTTGCAGGTTTTTCTCTGCAAGGAAGCATGGGTTGGTGGACGCAGCTGTTAGAACTAGTAGCGGCAGCGGCTTGGATAAGACAGCCGTGGTGGCTCTGCCAGGTGGAATTGGCACTCTGGATGAAGTCTTTGAGCTCATGGCATTGATCCAACTCGACCGGATTGGTTCACTTCTCCCGGTTCCTTTTCTTTTGATGAACTATGATTCCTTTTATTCAAAGCTGCTCGACTTTCTCCATGATTGTGAGAATTTTGGTACGATCTCCCATGGTGAGGCTGCATCGTTATGGAAAGTTTGTAACAATAACACTGAAGCTTTAACATATTTATCTGAATTCTACGGCATTAGCCATTAGCTAGGTTAAACGCCACAGAAATGCACTCGAAGTCATCATGGGCAGTAATATTACTGTTTTTATTATGATTGCTGGCATTAGTGGCATGTATGCATTAAAGCTGTTGATGTTTTGTTCATGTTTCTTAATCCAATCTAAGTAGGCGTTGGTGACATTGAAAGTGTCAAAATTTTAGAGCTAATAAATTAATATCTTAAACTGATTGAATATAATGTCATTCAAAAAGTGCAGTAACGTTTTATTTTGAATTTGCTTCGTATCAGGGACCTCCTAAAAAGAAAGTGTGACAAAAAGTCAAAACTTTGGCATTATGCTTCTTATTGAGGACCTCTTAAGAAGAAATAGTTAGATGAAAAGTCTGAGCTCTAGCATTATCTCTGTTTGTTCGCTCTCGTGAAAAACATCATGAAATTATGTGAAACTGTGAAAGGTGTAAAGTTTAGATGAATGATAAGATCTTAACCATCGAGACACTACTGAAAAAGCTACTTAATAATCAAGCAAAGGAAAGGAAGATCAGAGAGAAGAAGCAGCCGACTAGCAGCAGTCTGCTCCTCATTCCTCAGCAACAACCAACCACTAAAGTCTCAGCCCCATCTAGCTCTTCAGGTACTTAAATCTCCCCTTCCTACTATTCTTATATCTCCCCAGAGCTTGCAGCAATAAGCCAATAAGAGCAGCAGATGACAAGCTCATCCACGAGTTGAGAGAATGATATCGGAAAATGGCAGAAGACTTGCACAGCTCTTAAGGAACAAAACCAATGAAGAATCAGCCAAGTTCCTAAAAGATTATGACCATGTAAGAAAAGCAATAGTCAAATTATTTCAACAGTGTCAACACAGCTTCCTCATCCCTGATAACAAAATAAAAAATCTGACCAAGACTGTGGACCAGACCTCCCCCCAGGCCCCAATCTAAGCTACCTGGAAGAAGATATCAAAGGGGGCCTTATGATTGAAGTCATTGATCTTAAACTTCAATTGGAACTCCTAGCCGAAGAGCTGGAGCAGTATGATGCCAAAAGGTGGGAAGGAAGCTCGAGACCCTCTACATCTCAAATTAAAGGGCCATGGCAGAAGGGTCCATGGAAGAAGCCTGATTTCAGCTAAATGACCAGAGGAGAGAAGGCTTCTTATACAAGAAGAAGAAATCTGGAAATACAATTTGGTGAACAACAAGCAGCTAAAAAGAGGAAGGCTGGAGAAGTCAAGGCAGCTGAAGAAGGGAATCAGCATGCTGGAAAAGAAAAACAAGGCAAGGACTCAGATGAATATTTCTTGGAATCCGTTTGATACTTCACACATTAAAACTTTACATGCAAAATGATTGCAATCTAAAGTTTAGGGTAGTAAAATATTTTGCATGTAAAATAAAATACATCGTTTGGTTATGTGTGTAATCTATATTTAAATTATTAAATGGGGATTCTTTACCTTTTTTTACCATCTTTACCTTTTTCTTTAGAAAATAACTTTACATGTAATAAAATCTTTAAAAATGACTCCATAGCTGATTCATCAAATTAAACATACGTGTACTGCTGGCCAGAAGAGAGAGTGGCGTGCAAAAATGGAGTAATCACTAAAAATTGTAAACTTTTATTATTTCAAGAAGCACAATATCTAAAGATTTAATTTCACATATATATAATAAATCAAATTGCAAAAGCTACCCGTTGGTTCCGTGGAGTGTAAAGCAGATTTTGTTTCTTATTTACGATAGCACTGCGTAGGAGAATTGGAGAAAAGAGAGTTTCTTGCAGGCCAATATTATTAATTTGCTTTGCCGCCTCAATCGAGCCTTCAAAGTATAGCAGTCTAGGTTAAATCGTGATTCAATACTCCGTATATTTATTCTGCCTCCCATAAACGGATCCAGTTTACCACCTTCCATCCAAATAAAATATTTTACATGGTACGATGTAAAATGTTTTTAAAAAAGTGTTCTACAACTTATATTAAATAGTTAAATCAAACGATGTAAACTGCTTTCTTTATTACACTTTACACGCAAAATGTTTACTTTACACCGTAACAAATGAGCCCTTAGATTAAGACCATTGTTCTAAAAATCGGCCTAGGCGGCCCTAACCGTAGAGGCCGAATCGGCCTAGTCGGCCAAAAAATCAGCCTAGTCGGCCAAAAAAACGGCCTAGTCGTTTTTTTCTATAAACTAGTCGTTTCTTCTATAAACTTTAAAATTGTTATACATAATTTTGGCATTATGTATTAGACTCTAGCACTTTGGTTTTAATATTTTGTAAAGATTTAGATGCTTTAATTCCTTCACAAAAAGTACTCATAAAAATGAAAAATGAAAAGAGAAGTATTAAAAGAGAAATCAAAATGAAAAACAATGTACTAATAACATGAAAAGAAAATAAAATAAAAAAGATAAATCAAAAGATTTTTTTTTATGAAAAGAAAATCAAAAGATAATGAGAAGTCGGATCGAGTGCAAGAGAAGATAAGATGTCCATGATCGAGCTAAACTTGCAAGTATACAAGTGTCAATGTAGTGACAAAATACCGATAAAATAATGGGTTGAACCATGGAGAAACGTTGTTTTATAAAGTTTGAGTTTAAAAATAAAGTAGAGGATGGAAGTAAAGTGCATGAATTTTTGTTTGATATTCTGAATATATAATAAAATGACCAAGACATTGAGATTCACCTAAATGTTAACTATAGTTAAATATAAATTCTTTATTAATTCTTATGAGTATGGTATCGCTATTATATTCCCGACTCCAATTAAGGCAGTGATCGAGAGCGTGATTTTCTCTATATATGAGTTTCGTTACACTCACATTCATCTAGAGAAAATCTCATTGAATATTAAGATCACACACGTACCATATAAGATCATGTATAATTTTATTCTCAATACATTGTATGTTTATTCTTCTAGAGAACGATCTATATTGCAACTTTCGTTGACCATGTAAACTTCTATATGTTATGCAATGTGGCGGAATAGTTTTAGATTTTGGTTAAGGAGAGTAAAACGTGAATTACTTTTCTAATGCCCAATTGATATTTAATTTCAACGTTGGTTACTTCATACATCGAAAGTTAAAAGTCAACAAGAATAAACCATAAAACATGACTTAGAACATATAAAAAAAAACTTAGCGCACATGGGGGGGGTTCTTCCAGAGCCTTGGCTTGTGGACTTAACCTTTAGCGCTCATATTAATAAAGATTGCAATGTTTTGAATTTATAAGAATATGAAAAAACAAAGGAAATGTCACCTAAACATCAATGGTTGAAAGTAATTACCTTCTACACCTCAAGAACACCGTGAAGAACGAAGAACAAATATAGAAACTAGAAACCAACTCAAGATTTAATTATTCATTTGTGATGGACCCGGGGGTTTAAATAGTTTATGATATGATTTTTGACAGTCTATTAATGATCCTAGATTAGACTGATGATAAATTTTCATTTCAGCTCAAGAATATCTTGCACGTTGTGTTGTTTTCTGCATAATAAGACCATACCGGCGCCGGTTAAGTGGTTGGACCGGCGCCGATGGATTCCCAAAGCGCAATTGCATAGTTTCAAGTGCATTTTGGCTTCAATAGTTGATCCATAGGTTATATTTTTATCCCCTTTGAATTGACTTCAATTTCTTCGCTTTTGACCTTATTTCACATTTCTTGCACCATGACGGGGGGTTTACCCGATTTCCCGTCTTTTTAGTACAGAATGCTATTATTACTTTTGTACAGCATATACAATTATTGTGCGTGGCAGTTTACAACTAAACACTCAATACTCGAGTACTGACCATATAAGGTAAGAGGATTTGAAGACTCAGACTCACATAGAGAGAGAGTTAAGGTTAGGGTTTAGGGTGGAATGGAGAGGCGTTGAAGGGATTCCCCTAGTTTTGGGATCTATGTATATATATAGGATGTATGTATATGCAACGCAATGACGGCGTTTTAGTCTTATAGACATGTATGCATATATAGTTGTGGGTTGAAAGGCGGTCGGGTAGAAAATAAGTAAACCCTACCTGCTACTAGTAACCCTCCCTCCTGTGGTTTAACGTTTTGGGTGCCCCTTTTGGATTAGGTTATTTGACCCACGAGAAAATAAACCAGGTCAACCCGATTGCTTTCTTTGTCTCTTCGTCATCTCTGCCCAGTAATGTTGGTCCTAAAAACTCCAAACTGCTCATCTCAAAATTCACAAAGTCGACGCAATTGCTGCCAGTGCAGCCCTAAAACTTCTATGCCCATTGCTCGCCTCTCCAGAATTTCATCGGCGATTATCAAACGTATTCACCATATCTGCAAAGCAGTCACTGCCCCTAGTTCAGAAACTCGTTGCTTTACATCGATGCTCATCAATGGCCCAACAAAAGTCATGCATTCCAAATGCTTTTAGAGACTACAATGTCGATGCTACTGCGGTCTTGACGTATCAAGATAAAAAAACACAGCGTATGAGAGCTATCAAGTGCGAGTGGAGAAAGGTGACAATCTTCTTCTCCATAGCAAGAACTTGACGTGGAAGGCATGCTTGATGGGAGATGGCTATGAAATCATACATGAGATGACTACTAGTCTACGACGATGAAGGGGCTGCGCGATAAGCCGAGGAGTGTGGGAGATTCAGCTTCAAAAGGAGAAGGACAAATGTTGAATTAGGATAGACTTATTAAGGCAATTTTTCTCCATGTATACATGTTTGTTGGTCTCATTTTTGTCCAGGTTAAGATGTGTCCTGCTTTGTTAACTAAAAGAAAAATACACTTTCTCAAAAAGAAAAAGAGAAAAATACGGAGTAGTATTATTCTATCACATTTTAATTATAAGTTGGTTTATGGTTTTAACAAGAAATAATTACATATTTATGATTAAAATATAGGTTGTTATAAAATCTCGCAAGTATGGTTGTTATGGTAGTAATTTTAGTCAAAGTAATGTACTTTCAATTTCTATATTTGACTAATCATGATACAATATTCATAAACATTTTCATTCTGTTCATTTTTTATCATCAAAACATGTCTCTTTTCATATCAAAAGATTCAGGATCATTACATCAAGCAAAGGGAAAATAACACTGACACCAACTAAAACTTCAACAACTACGACTGTAATCCTATAGTGAGACTTTGAGACGGTCACCCCTGAAAGAGCAACACGAATCGCTAACCATGTAGTAGACTTGACACAGCCAAACTTGTTCCCATAGATCCAACCATTGTTCTAAAACTCGCTAGGCGCTAGGCGGGCGGTTGAGGGGCGCCTAGCGCCTAGGCGGCCGACTAGGCCGATTCGGCCTCTACGGTTAGGGCCGCCTAGGCCGATTAATCGGTCCGCCTAGGCCGATTTTTAGAACAATGGATCCAACCATACCCAATGACATAAAAAGAGGCTAAAAACTCAAACAAATTGTCAAAACAAACAACCAAGATGAACACAAGAAAACAAATGACAAACAGGCAAAAATTACTAGGAAAACTTGAACGGACTCTAGCACCTCGTACAACTCATGATGGTGGTTCAGGCGGAGGTCGGACCGTCGCTCGATTGATACCCTCTTTCAGTAGCGTACCCACCGTAAGCTCCAAATCCATGCCATCGAATGGAGCGTTCAGCCTCTCCACGCTAACCATGTCCCAATCATCCCTACGTCTCTCTCGCTTCTTCCACCATCTTCTCGCTGCCACGATCATCCATCCCGAGCGACATTCAAACCACGACAATGCGGCGCAGAGCTGCGTCGATTGAAAGAAAAACGCCGCACCAGGGCGGCGAAGAAAATGATATAGCTGGAATATTAATAAGCTGTTGCACTTAGTTGGTTATAGTTGGTTATATTCCGTTTTGACTTTGACTTAGTCTGTTAAGTCAAATACAATATCCTCTATAAATGTACTGGAAGACTGAATAATAGATACGAATACATTCATTCTCAATTTCATCTCCTCTTCTTTATTTCTATTACTTGAGCTATGCTAGAACTCTCAAAGATCTCCTTCTCCCATACATGAGCATCTTCCTGCATCCTGCATCATTGGTATCAGAGACTTCTCGACCCTGAAGTAATCTGCTGGCTATCAAGTTCAATTGAAGATTGAGAATCTGGCACCGTCAAAGTCTACCACGGTTCATCAACTCAAGAATATCATGGAGGATCGAATCGACAGTTTGGAGAAAAAGTTGGAAGAACAGTCTTCGGTTCTGGTAGAAATTATGAAACATCTGAAGGATCAAGAAAAGAAGAAAAGCATCCAAGAAGATGAGGATGTCGATACTTCTTTGTCACCAGGTATTCACAACCAAATCACTCACAGACCTTTAGGATACACTCCTAAACTAGAATTTCCTACTTATGATGGGTGTAACCCTAGAATCTGGATGAAAAGATGTCAAAAGTATTTTAAGTTTTGTAAAGTTCCTGTTGATCATAAGGTGGATTTGGCAAGCATGTATTTCATTGGGAAGGCAGAGTCATGGTTTCATAATTACCTGTCAGTTAAAAAATATGTGGAATGGGATGAATTGGTTGTGGGTATATGTGCTCGTTTCAGAGAAGATATAGGAAGCAATGTGGTGGAGGAATTTAATAAATTGACTCAAACAGGATCTATTGATGACTATCTAGATTCTTTTGAGAATTTGAGATCTTTGTTGGTTCAGAGAAACCCTCTATTGCCTGATCAACACTTCCTAGACAGTTTTATTGGTGGTTTACAACCTGTATTAAAGTCTTTTTTGAAGGCTTTTAAACCTGGTACGTTGATGGAGGCTGTGGAATATGCTAGACTCCAAGAAGAAGCTCTGAATGCTTCCAGCCAAACAGCCAGACCTCTATTTCAGAATTCCAAAACAGTATCATTTTACCACTAGAACAGGCCATCAACCAAACCACTATTGCCTACCCCCAAAATACCTCAATTATCTTCCCAGATCAGGCCCATATCTACTCAAAATTCTTCCCAATTCAGCAATCATGTGGCTGCAGCTACCAGGGCGGAAAAGATAGCTAAGGGTCTATGTTATTTTTGTGATGCTCCATATGACAGAAATCACAAATGCCAATTCAGGAAAACTCAATTGTTTACAGTTGAGGTGCCACGATTAGAAGAAGAAACCAATGGGGGAGAAGATAGAGGGGAAGAAGGAGGCTTATATATGGGGAGTGAGATGTTAGAAAGTGCACCTCAAATTTCTGCAAATGCCTTGGCTGGAACACAAGGCTATCAAACCATGAGAGTGACTGGTTACTTTAACAAAAAGCCAATCCATATTCTTATTGATTCGGGAAGTACTCATAACCTCCTTGATCAAAGTCTGGCAAGAAAGTTGGGATGTAAGTTGGAAGCAATAAACCCCCAAGCAGTTTCTGTGGCTGATGAATTTTTTTTACCATGTCAGTTTAAGTGTGTAGGATTCACTTGGAAGCTGCAAAATACCTTGTTCACTTCTGATGTACTATTGATTCCCTTGGGAGGATGTGACATGGTTTTGGGAATACAGTGGCTTTGTACTTTGGGAACTGTTAAATGGAACTTCAAACACCTCAAAATGGAGTTCTCATTTAATAACCAGACACATGTATTAAGAGGAATAACTCCTAAGAAACTGAAAGTTGTGAGGTTAAATTCAGTAGTTAAGGATATTGCTCAAGTTTATATGTTACAGATCAGAGAACAAATTCAAGACCAACACCAGATGATTTCTTGTTGTTCTGTACAACAATCAACTGAAAATTCACCTGAACTCCGAGCCTTGATTGTGGAATATGCAGCAATTTTTGAAGAACCTACTGGTTTACCTCCTTATAGAGGAGTATTTGATCACAGAATTCCACTATTGGAGGGAGCTCAACCTGTAAACATCAGACCTTACAGATATTCTATGCAGCAAAAAGATATTATTGAACAATTAGTTCAAGAAATGGAGGAGAGAGGAATTATACAAAACAGTTCCAGCCCATTTGCTTCACCTGTGGTGTTGATTGGGAAAAAAGATGGATCATGGAGGTTTTGTATAGATTATATGGAGCTTAACAAGAAGACAATTAAAGACAAGTTCCCCATTTCAGTAGTAGATGAACTGATTGATGAGTTGGCTGGTTCCAGGGTGTTTACCAAACTAGACTTGAGGGCTGGGTATCATCAACTCAGAGTTCATCCTTCAGATGTATATAAGATTGCCTTCAAGACACATTCAGGTCACTATGAGTTCTTGGTAATGCCTTTTGGTCTTACCAATGCCCCTGCATCTTTCCAAGGGTGGATGAATGAAAATTTCAGACCTTTATTAAGAAAACGTGTCCTTGTATTTTTTGATGATATCCTCATATATAGTCAGTCTCATGATGATCATATTAAACATCTGAAGGTTGTCTATGAGATTATGAGAAAAAATTAGTTATATATTAAGAAGAGCAAATGTGTCTTTGCCATGAAGAAAGTTGAGTATCTGGGCCACTTCATTTCAGGGACAGGAGTTGAAACTGACCCATCCAAGATTTCTGCTGTTCAGAATTGGCCTATTCCTAAAAAAGTCGAAGATCTGAGGAGTTTTCTGGGTTTAGCTGGCTATTATAGAAATTTTGTCAAAGGGTATGCTTTAGTTAGTCAACCTCTGACTCAACTTCTAAAGAAAGGGGGGTTCAAGTGGACTGAAAGGGCTCAAACATCATTTGAAGAATTGAAACAAGCATTAGTGAAGGCTCCAGTATTGGCTGTACCAGACTTTACTAAAGTATTTGTGGTGGAAACAGATGCATCTAACCATGGGATTGGGGTTGTATTGATGCAAGAAGGTCACCCATTGGCCTATATGAGCAAGACTCTGGGTCCAAGATGGCAGAGATTGTCAGTATATGAAAAGGAATTACTGGCTATAGTGTTTGCAGTTCAAAAGTGGGAGCAGTACTTGTGTAATCATCACTTCATCATTCAAACGGATCAGAAGAGTCTTAAATGGTTGCTCAGTCAGAAAATCTCAACGCCTTTTCAACAATTTTGGCTCTCCAAACTTATGGGATTTGACTATGAAACTTATGGCTCAGTCAGAAAATCTCAACACCTTTTCAACAAGTGGAAAAGAGAATGTTGCAGCAGATGCTTTATCCAGAATTACAGGCTGTGAGGTCCTATGTATGGCCTTGTCTACTATGAAGTCAAATCTGACTCAATTAATACAACAAAGTTATGAAAATGATTCATTCATAACTCCATTATTACAGCAGTTGCAAACGGGCCAAAATTTGCCTGACTATGCTTTACAAGGAGGAATAATCAGAAAGCAAGGCAAAATTTTGGTGGGTAATGATGTAGCCACTAAACAAATCATTATGCAATGGATGCACAACTTAGGAGAAGGAGGGCATTCAGGCAGGGATGCTACATTAAAAAGGTTAAAAGCCTTGTTCACTTGGAAAGGGGTTAATAAAGAAGTCAGTGCCTTCATAAGGCAATGTGTGACATGTCAAGCTAGTAAGTATGATACAGCAGCATACCCAGGTTTTCTACAACCCCTCCTTATACCAGAAGAAGTATGGATCGATATTTCTATGGATTTTATTACTGGTCTACCCAAATCACAAGGAAAAGAAGTTATATTTGTGGTGGTGGACCGGTTAAGTAAGTATGCACATTTTATGGCTTTAGCACATCCATTTTCTGCCATAGAAGTCGCTCAAGCCTACTTAGATAATGTATTCAAACTACATGGCTGGCCAAGGAGTATTGTGAGTGATAGAGACTCTATATTCATCAGTCAATTTTGGCAAGGCTTATTTCTTATTCAGGGTACACAGTTGCTACTCTCATCAGCTTATCATCCTCAGACGGATGACCAAACTGAAGTAGTTAACAGATGCACTGAAGGTTATTTGAGGTGCATGTGTGGAGATAATCCCAAAGAGTGGTCTATATGGCTACCCCTAGCTGAGTGGTGGTACAATACCACTTTTCATACATCTGCCCAGTTGACACCTTATGAAATTGTATACAATCAGCCACCTCCTTTGCACCTTCCTTATCTACCGGGAGAAACAAAAGTGGAAGCAGTTGACAGGTCTATGCAGCAAAGAGAAAGCATGATTGCTAATCTAAAATTTCAATTACTTAAAGCACAAAACAGAATGAAGAATACATCAGACAAGAAGAGAACTGAAAGGAGCTTTGTTATTGGAGAATGGGTTTGGCTTAAATTTCAGCCATATAGACAGCAGACTGTGCAGAGTAGGCAAAATCAGAAGCTGGCTTATAAGTATTTTGGTCCTTTTCAAGTGGAGGCTGTGATTGGGAAAGTAGCCTATAAGCTGAAACTACCAGATTCAGCTAAGATTCATAATGTCTTTCATATATCACAACTTAAAGGATTTAGAGGAGTTTTGCCTACAGCCCCACATATACCAACACATTGGCAAAATGTTGACAGTACTTCTATACTCAAGCCAGCAACAGTGCTTGATAGAACAGTGGTGAAGATTCAGAATGCAACAACTGTACAATACTTCGTGCAATGGGATGGATTTCCAGCTAGTGAAGCTTCTTGGGAGAATGCTTCAACTTTTGCAGCACAATATCCAGACTTTGTTGTTTAGACTTGAGGTCAAGTCCATTTTAAGGGGGGTAGTATGATATAGCTGGAATATTAATAAGTTGTTGCACGTAGTTGGTTATAGTTGGTTATATTCCGTTTTGACTTTGACTTAGTCTGTTAAGTCAAATACAATATCCTCTATAAATGTACTGGAAGACTGAATAATAGATACAGATACATTCATTCTCAATTTCATCATTTCATCTCCTCTTCTCTATTGCTATTACTTGAGCTATGCTAGAACTCTCGAAGATCTCCTTCTCCCATACATGAGCATCTTCCTGCGTCCTGCATCAAAACACCCTACGCGAGAGATCTTGCTAGGGAAACATTGACCGAACTTTAATAAAAAAGATCGAAATCGGAATTACCCAGCGGCGGCTTTGCCCCAGGAGCTCGTTCGGCGCCTTTTCATCTTGTTCTTATAAAAATAAATTTTCTCCTCTCAAAAAAAATAAAAATAAATTTTCTTTCAATAATATTTTTTTGAAAGAAGTATCCCTTTAATATCTCTAGCTGCCTCAAATCCCAAACTACTACTGTGGTCAATGTGCTAGCATTTTACATCATTTTCACGTCCCCAGTATTCTACCTCCTTTTCTCCGGGGAGGGGCCCAATCCTCTAACCAGCCATCACCATGCCCAGACTCCCTCCCTCGCCCCCTCTCTCTCATAGCTCTGCTACTAACCCTTTTCCCATGTCCACCGCTTCTCCAACAGGTAAAAAACTCTCTCTCTACAATCTTATCTCTCTGCTATCTGCCAACCCTTTAGTCTAAACGTAAAGCAAAAGCTTCTCCTTGAACCATCACCACCGGGCGTCTGAATTGGAATCCTTATCAACATCTAGCATTTTCTTTCCCTAAAAGACAGTTCTTTTCTGTTTCAGGCTGCTGAACGCTGCATTCTTGTGGCGATTCATAGAGGGGCTAGACGTGAGCAAACTCCAGCAAGTGTCAAGGGATTTTCCAACTCGAGCCTCTTAATTTCTTGACTTTGGTCTCTGATTTGTCGCAGATCTTCGAGATTTTTCGTCTTTAAGGAATGTCCTCGGGTTTTCCGAGGACCTAGACTTTCTTTCCCCAGCTTATATGATTTCGGCACCAATTCCTGTTGGCCCTTAGCATCTGGAAATCATCTGGCGAAAAGCTGTATATATGGGCGTTTCGCCTCTTTATAGCTATGGCGAGTGAAGATATGTAGCTCTTAAGGAGTAGGGAACCCAGGTAGTTTAGAACTTTTTTTGCCAGTTGAGGGTTCGTGAAACGGCAGCGATCTCTCAGGTTTTAGGGTTTCTCTGAACTTATGACTATATAGGGTTCGGACTTAGTTTGCTCAAGAATGGCTGAAGATAAATGTTTTGTTGAATGGAAGGAACTGTTTGTTTCAAAAGAGAGAGGCAATCGTGTGGTTCATTACTTCTTGAAGGATAGTTCAGGGGAATCCGTGCTTGCAATTATTGGCACCGAGAGAAGTGTCCGCCACATGTTCTATGTTGTTTCGGAAGAGTTCTTGAAACTATACGGTGCTGAGACTTCAGTTCACACTGGTTTCAGATGGAGATCGCGGAGAGAGGTTGTGAATTGGCTCACATCTATGCTATCCAAGCAAAATAGGCAAAGTTATTACCGCTCAAGTATGCTTAGCCTTCCCTATTTACCTATTTTATCTCTCATAGATTTGGATTTGTTTACTGTTTCTGTATGTGAATCAAGAAGATTTGGGTATCTTTTCCTTTGTCCTGAATGTGAATTAAGTGGATGGATCATTGATTGGAAAGTAGCAAGATTGCCCTAAGATGCTAAAGACTTTTTGTTGCTAATTTGCCAGCATTAGTGGCAGCTCATTTTTTACTTTGTTTCTACACATGAATCATGAATGTCATCATAGAATGGCCATATTTAATGCCGCCCTAGCAATACTATTTCAGCAAACCTTTACTTTTATTGTTATCTTGCATTAGTTTCAATCCGTAGGATATGTTTAGTTTTCAAGTTGTTGCCGGTGAGTATGTGGACAGTTACACCAAAGTGCAAATCAAATTTAGTCTTGAGGTGGTGGTTAGATCATTACTAAGCCTTTCTGGTTATTTCACCTTTTGAGTATTTGCAGAGTCTCACCAAATAGTTACCATATCAAATTGAGTGAATCAGAGATTCTCACCACAAGGTGACATGGTTCTATTTAATCAGTTGTGTATTTAAAGCAACATAGCGCCCTCTTTTTACTTTATAAGGATATAAGATATGTAACATCTGATTATATCTCTTTTACTTTCTTAAGGAGGTAACATAATTATGTTTAGTCTACCTATTTCATTTAATGCCACCCAAGCTGCCTGCTTCGCTTCACTAGTGAACTTTGATGAATGTGATTGGTAATATTTAAGGTGAAACTTGCACATTAAGTATTAATTTCCTGATTCATATGTACTCTTCAAAGTCAGACTCAAAATTATACGTTTCTTTTCAGATCCCTCGTGTGCATATGGATCCTGTCTTATAATATTTGTGATGCATGATTCTTTCATTATTAGAAACCTACTCTTCTATTAGAGTAATTTATGTTTGTGAGAATTTCCATTTTACGTAAAGAGTACATTCTTGCTGTGCTTTCTTGATTTTGTGCCATGGTCTTTGAAAATACTTTATTTCCTTTTAATTTTCTTGCCATTTAATTTACAGAAGTGTCTAAAGATGGTCCTGTATCCAGAGTCAATTTTGAACAAAATGAGATGGCAGATAAGGTAAAATCGTCCTTTTAAAACCTTGTTACTGTTCACGCCATCACTTGTTAGTCATGCTCATCTTTTCTGTGGATTCAGGTCCGTCTTGCTAGGAACTTGAATGGTCCTTGTCCTGATATAGTATGGTCAGGAGAACCATGGACATGCGGTAAACAGCTAAAGCATTATCCAGGATTTTGCAGGAATGGGATTGCAATAGCTGTGAGTTTTCTGACCTCCATAAAATATCACATCCTCTAGTAAAAAATGTTTATACCACCTGTCTTCCTAGTGCCTAAATTATTTGTACACTTTCATTTTGGTCAGTCCCAAAGTTTCCTCTCATTTCCTTTTAAGGATAGAATTGTCTGGTTCCTATTAGCTCTAAATTAATTTCCCCATGTCTGGTCAAATTGCATCTTTATCTAGGGATGGATGGAGTAATATTCACGCATAAATTTTGAGGCAATAGAAATCATTTTTTATAAGATTCCAGGAAATGATATACTCAATCTGATGTGGGCTTGAAGCATTTTAACTCTCTTAAGCTTTAATCTTATTGTAAGCTCATATGATGTAAATTGTCATATTCCTATCTTTTGATGTGTAGGGTCCACCTCCTTAAATGGTTTACACTCTACCTGCTCCTTTTAACAAAATTTGTTGATTGAAATAGTCGTTTTATCATGTTACCTGAATAATGCAGATACACTCATTTGTCTTTGTGATGGCCGAAAAAGAGAACCGCTACCTGGCATATCTGGAGGATATGTATGAGGATAGTAAGGGTCAGAAAAAGGTTAAAGTAAGATGGTTTCACTTCAATCGGGAAGTCATAGGCGTTGTCGCCTTGCGAAATCTAAATCCAAGAGAAGTTTTTATAACACCATGTGCTCAAGTCATCAGTGCAGAGTGTGTTGATGGTCCTGCCATTGTATTGACTAGGGCACATTATCATAAATGTGCAGCAGTTTTTCCAAGTGACTTGCTCTCAAGACTACACTTTTGCTGTAGGCAGTTCAAGAACAACAGAGTGAAGCCTTTTGAGCTGGCTAAAATGCGTGGCTATTTTAATCAACCGATTTTCTCATGTTTCAGTGCTGATTTTTTTGAAGATGAAGAGTTTGCTGCAGGAGATGAAATAAAAGTTGGATCTAAAAGGCCTAGAAATTATGAAGAGCATGAGATTAAGACATTTGAAAAATCATATCCAAAGATGAAAAATAGTTTTTTTAGTGGTAGGGGGTTGAACTCCCACAAACACCTTGAAGGCCAGCGTTGGCATATGTTAAACATTAAGGCTGGTGAAAAGATTGAATTTCTATGCCAAGATAGCGGAATGAGAGGCTGCTGGTTTCGGTGCACTGTCCTGGAGATATCCAGAAGACAATTAAAAATCCGATATGATGACATAAAGGATGTTGATGGTTGTGGTTACCTCGAGGTATGTATTTTCAGGCACTTGTATCTAAAGATTGTATTATAAAAGTAAGCTGATATATGTGCATTACTATATTACATGCGTATAAATTTTTAATTTGATGACAATCAAATTGACTGAAGTATTTTTAATTTGATGACAATCACATTGACTGAGCTAATAATCTGATTCAAGAGTTTTTAATTATGAGAATGTGACTTTCTTTAAATAACAAATTGTAATACATAATAGGAGTGGGTCCCTGCATTTAAAGTAGCCAGACCAGATAGACATGGAATACGAAATTCGTTCCGTCCAACCATCAGACCAGCACAACCTTGTGGAGAACAAGGCGACCTTAGCTTTGAGGTTGGAGTTGCAGTTGATGCTTGGTGGAGTGATGGCTGGTGGGAAGGCATTGTGACTAAAGACACTTACAATGGGGCCAAAGGCTATCAAGTTTATATTCCTGGTAAGTTTTTTTGTCAGAGTTCTGTATCTGTAGTGTAGACTCCTTGAACATATGGTTTTGCTTAATTGTGTTATTAGAACCTAAAAGTTCTCTGCTTTCTATGTGATCTTTTAGGAGAGAGCCTATTCTTGACTGCACACAGTAAGAACATAAGAATTTCAAAGGACTGGGTGGGAGATCATTGGGTTGATATCGAGATACCAAATCCTGATATTGTCTCAACAATTACTGCTATTGCCAACCAAGAGACCAAGCCCTCCGAGCCTTCTCTTATTTCTAATGATAAGGAAGCCAATCATACCAGTTCTCCTACTTTATTGGACCAAACATCTAATGATAAGGAAGCCAATCATACCAGTTCTCCTACTTTATTGGACCAAACAGTCACCTCAAGTGGGCTAAGCATAAATGATGAGGAAGATGAACCTGATTTTGAAGAAATGAAACAAAAACCAAGTGATCGTGCTTTAAAGCAACAAGGAGATGTTTTGTCAGAAACAATACCAAATGATGTCATTTCAGAAGATTTCCATGTGGTCAAAAGCTACGAACAAGAAACTGTAGATGACAAAAGCAGAGAGGGGTTTGACAAACTTCATAGTGATGATATGGTTGATGATGTTTGTACACCAATAGGCACTAACGGGTAAAAGATAGTCTTGACCACGAAGATAAAATAGCTGAATACGGAAATGTGGTCAAAGAAACAAAGCCGAGGGAACCAATAACCCAGTGCTTGCGTCATCTTTGGACCCCATCATCAGTGTTCAGTTTGTATATAGAGACTAGAGAGAATGAGAATGCAGAAGTCTGCACCTCTTTTTTTTTTTTTTTTTTTTTTTTTTTTTTTTTTTTAACTTGAAGAGTCACTAGCCCATTTAGTTGTATAGCAATTTATCTAGAACTTGATTGTTAGGAATATGAAAAACCCAAGACCGTTACAGCCCTTCATGGTAAATGACTAGTTGTCCATGTAACCCTTGTAACATGCAGTGGCCTGCTGCTGTTGTTTTACTATGTAGTAAAATGTCTGAACATTTATATATTACTAGCTAGTAGTGGAGTTGTTGCAGGTTCATCTTGCAGTTATGTGCCAATCTAGATTTGAGTACATTGCTCAAAATTGACTATAATTCATGTGCCTGCTACTGTTAGACTCTTATTAATTCCATTTTTATTTTTTGATTCAATTATCTTTTAAACAATTTTTAAGAGTAAAAATTGGGGCAAAACCAGAAATACTGGAATTTGTTTTAAGAAGTCCTTCATTGCTACTTTAATCACTATTAACCAGAATTAATTAGTTTTTTTTTTTATGGATGGGATTAATTAGTATTATTGTTAAATGAGTGGGAGTTTCACCCCATCCTTTCGTTTTTTTGAACAAAAGAAAAAGAAAAAGAGTGGGAGTTTCATCTTAAATAGCATCTTACTATATTAGTGGTAAATGATGCGATAGGACCGTGTGGCATGTTGTATTGTTACTTCCATCATTTTCAATGAAGTCCAAGATTCACTATCTATTGACTTGAAAATATGATGAATCAAGTAAAATGGTTTACTAAATTGTTTGCGCCCCTTTGTTATGAAACATCAGTTAGTCTATGCGATTTTTTACGCGATTTTCATCATGAATCGCTCGGAAATAGTCTCTCTGGTGTACAAGGATGAGACTGCACATCCGGCCACCTTAATTTGAATGTGCATTTAAATAACTGTGCATTTATCTTCAAGAATTAATTTGAATGTGTTCCCGATTGAATTTTTAGCTGAAATTTGGTATGAGTAAACTAGACTTGATGAATGAGATGCTAAAAAATTTTCATAAAAAAATTCCACCCGGAACCGCCTCAAATCGCGACGGCCGAACATAGCCTCATATATAAGGACTTATTTGACCTTTTTATGAAAGTTCGAGGACCTATTTGACAGTTTTCCCTTTAAATATAGATGAGTTGCAATACAGTGGAATAGTTTATATGTAGAACCAATCAATGACTTCCTTATGGACTAACATGCTCATTTGGGAGCATGTTACATGCTCATTAGAATTGTTGCAATTTTCCTGCTTCAAGCTAGGCATGGACCGGGACCAGGCCGGGCCGGGCTTGGGCGAGTTCCGGGTCCAAAATATTCACGCCCGATACCGGCCCTGGTTAGTACCGGGACCGGGTCGAGCTCCATTTTTTTTGGGGGGGGGGGGGGGGGAGAGGGGGGGGGGGGAGAGGGGGGGGGGGTATTTTCGAATTAATTCTAACCCACCCACCCCAAACCACCCAGCCCCACCCACAATGACCCACCTAGCAGTAGCTTAATGCCAAAAAAAGGACCCGGACCACGCTTGGCCCATCTGGATTGGTCCACTAAAAAATGGGCCCGTAGCCCGCTAGTTAAGCACCCAAGGTCGGGCCCAGTCCCGGTTGTAATCCTGCTTCATCAGTCCAGGCTGGGCCTGCACATTGGCGGGCCGGGCCGGGTCCTGGGTCGGGCCATTCCATCCTAGTCCATCCCTACTTCAAACATGAAAAGGTATAAGAAGTTGGTTATGATTCCTCCATAATAGGGCCAAGTTATTTTCTGTTACGTTTCCCTTTCAGGAAAATAGGTGTGTGTGTACATGTCTTGTTTTTCTCATGCGTGGTATAGTTACATGAACCCCAAGTCTCCAGTGTTGGACCCGGTTCGGGCCGCCCAACCCGTGGACCGGCCCGCTACTGTGCGGGCCCGGAACTGGCCCGGTTCTCGGGTCCGATTCAATGCCCGAACCGGTGGGGGGGGGTCCGGGCCTAACGACTAGTCATGGACCCGGACCGGGCCCGGCCGGGCTTTTTTTTTGGGAAGGAAGGCCCGGGACCGGCCCGGGTAACCACCGGGTCCGGGCCGGGCCTCCGGTTCGGTCATTTTTTTTTTTGCTTTCCTACCCCCCCCCACCCCCCAAACCCCCAAACCCCTCCTAACCATCAAGCCCAACCCGGCTAACCCCAAAAAATGAAAAAAAAAAATGAAAAAAAAAAATCAATTCGGCCCGGGCCCGACCCGACCGAGCCGGTTCGCCAAATACAAGGCCCGAGCCCGGACCCGCCCCCCCCACTGGGCCTAGGCCCGACCCGGACCCGAGAACCGGGCCGGTTCTGGGCCCGCACAGTGGCAGGCTGGGCCGGTCCCGGGCCGGGCGGCCCGAACCGGGTCCATGACTACTAACGACCATAATTTAAAAAAAAAATCCTTTGAATTCTAAAGAGCCGTTTGGCTCTTGACCCACATCCCAAACGGGCTATTAGGCTATATAGCCGTTGGGGCTTTGGGTGGGGGCAGGGGGTCCCGGGGGTGGTGGTGTGGGGAGTGGGGTTCAAAAAATTCTATAAATACATCTATTTTCGAACATTTTTCTACACCTCTTCTTCATCTTCATCTTCTCTTATTATCCTACATTTCTACTTATACATCTACCATTTTAAAGATGGAAAGTAAATCTTCCCTTATGCAAAACAATTTTGATAAGTGGAAGGACCCGAAGACCGGATTGTGGTGGACAACTTACAAGTGGTGCAAGAAAGAGTGTAGCTTGGGGCGTTCACACAGATACGGGATGCCAATAAAACATATGAAGTCCTGTGACAAAAGGAAAACAACAACCAACGGTGGCGGAAATCCCAATTGATATTTATTAGAAAATGTATTTCATATTGTTATTTTTTTCTCAATTCTCAAATGTAGTTCCGATTTCAAATAAATGCACTTGAACTTTGTTTTTAATAAGAATTTGTATAAACTATAATTACAAAAAAAAATTAAATATGACCCGGCCCGGCCCGGCGGGTGACCCATCCCGAACTGGCACCGGCCAATCCCGGCCATAGCACGGGCCGGTCCCGGGCCTACCTCTAATAAACCCGAGGCCCGGGTCCATCACAAGTTAGAGTATTGGGGCCTGCCCGCCTGGGGTGGGTTAATTTTTCTCATAATTCTACTGCGTATATTATTAGTCAACTAGTCTTCTGAATGTCAGCACAATATGAATTCCTACATGTTTAAACATTACTGGTGAATAAGAAATCTGGATAAAGGACATTCAATTGATGAATGCATTGTCGCAAATTAATGTGTAAAAGTGTAAAACGGAACCACAGATGAAGACACGGGTCGCCGAAACCACGGAAGTGCCTAAAATAGTCATGTTTGCCATTGTTTAAAAAATGACATTTTTTTTAGTTATTCCATATAATTAATTATTAATGTGCTTTGTTGAGCAAGAAACATGTATGTCCTTTTGTATGTTTGAAATTTTTTACAATTAAAAGTTTGCTAAATCATTTCATTTAATCAAAAATAAATAAACACATCACTCTTATTTATACAGAATTTTTTGACATATTAACTGAATTTAAAGAAAACATCATACAGACACATCATTACAGTAGCCTAGGGACCTGATCATTGGTTAAAATTAGAAACTGTCTAGGCCTCTCCTCTAGGGGCAGGACTTGGAAGTTGGAGGATACACTCAAAAGTTCCCTGAACTTTTTCCAACCATTCAAGTATTCAACTCAAAGTGCTGCATGTTTCAGCTGTAGCTTTCGAGGCAGGAGAACTGCACATAGAATGAAGATTTTTAAGCTTGCACAAAAAATAATCAAACCTTACCAAATTGATGACATGTAAAAGTTAATCAATATAGTTTTGACCTGTGGAAGAATTTAGGTTATAAAATGGGTGCTACTATTGCTTCAGGATTATTACCATATCTTAATCTTAAAGAAGTTAAGACATGCAATGGGACTTATATGGAGGTTATTTGGGAACTTGGGTTTTTGTTTCAGTAATCACACTCATTAGAGATGCTTAATAAAATGCAAGAATTTGAGGTTGCTCCATCACACAGAGAAACTGACCTTCATCGATACTGCATAAACTATTTGGATGAAATATGAAGTCAGGATCCATTTCTTGCTGAAAGAGAAGAAACTGAGCAACACAATTTTTTCTGGAGACATCAAAGATGAGCACATCAAAATTCAAGTCAATAACTAAAATTGACGGAATGCCAACTTAATGGCCTCATTGAAGAAACATGTGTACCCCAAACGAACTAGCAGCTTCCCAGCTTGGGGTAATAATGATATCATCAGTTGAGATTTAAAAATCAAAACAAGAATAATTGTCGATCAGGATTGGCAACAGAGCTTGCATTATAGTTACAAATTAATTACCTGGCCCATGAGGGAATAGGTTTTTGTGTGGTTTCTTCCTCATCTTCATCTTCACCTTCATCATCTGAACATTTATATGGAGAAATCTCATATGACTTCAATTGAGCTCCCATGGCAGTGAAGTTTTGATCTTGTTTATCAAAATTGGCATATAGCTTCTTGGAAAAATAAACAAAGCTTGTCAGCACAAAAAGAACTACTCAAAGTCATGCACATGGACCAACTAGTCAAACAAGTCTGAAGTTAAAAATTACATAACCTTGTAGGTCCACTATAAATTTTTTTGGACATGTGATTAAAGGCTTTGACTTTTGACAGAGAAAATTCATGCACAAGTCTCCTGTAACGCAGGATTCCAGGTTTCACCTTTCAAGTGACAACGGGCAACAAAGGATTTGAATCGTTCATGTATGGGAGTATAGCACAGCAGAATGTTATTAAACAATCAAAATAATTGCATATTATCTTGTTTAGAGAACCGGCCAGAAGAGGAACTGTTTATGGTTAGATGTATAGCAACACAGCTACTGGTTGGATTTTACAGAACCAGTTTTAAACTTTTAAAAACCTAAGTGTGCTGCCATAAATAAAAGAGTGATGCCCACAAATTTGAACTTCCATGTTAAAATAATACTACATATGTAATAATCTATTGTTTATACCGTTTCATGTTGACTTTGATCATCTGACGTGTCGAGGCTGTCATGAGAAACTGTGGCTCCTGAGTTGTCATTTTCCAATATTTCAGCATGTATTGGTTTTCCAACCTGGAAAATATCATGTCACAACAGTAACTTATGTTTCATCGCAACAAGCTGACATAATTAGGTAGATGGAATCTTACAATAGCAGAGCACTTTTTTTCAACATCTACTTTTTTAACACGGAACTTTTCCTCCTCATTTTGCTGTCTCCGTAACTCTCCAATTCGAAGTCGTTTCTTCTCCTTGTCATTTTTCTCCTCTTCAGCTCTCATCCTTTTCCTTGCTAAAACTTCAGCTTCTTTTTTCTTTCTTTCATCTTGTTTCTTTTGTTTGTTTATTTCTAGCTGTCTTAAATTTTCTTCTTTCCTCTTCTTACGTTCAATCTCTTTTTTCTCATCATGACGTTTGGCTGCCTCAGCTGCCTCCAGAGCCTTAATCTTTACGTCTTTCTTTCCTGTAAAATAATAGATAGACTGGACAAATCTGCACAAAAGGTCCTTAATAATGGAGAAACTTGATTGATCATGCTACATGTTTCCTAAATAATTACTTAAATCAACACAACAAAGTGCATTAGGTAGGTTGTTTCCAAAGTGAAGGCCCAAGATCTAATGAACATAAGAAAAGTTATGTACGGCAAGATCCCCACAATTTGAACCCAAAGTGAGAAAGGAAATATAGTTTTACCCTAATGAAAATACAATCTTTTGAGAAAAAAGTAAAGTCGCTATTATCATGCAATGATAACCAAGTTAACATGATGAAGCTGCTTGGATAATTATTGAATGTTTTGCAATTGAGCGAGAAATTCTTATTTATGCTTATTTCTACTGGAACCTGGAAGGACAGGCCCGATTAGGTACACATATACCAAATATAGAAAATCTTTGAAGCACCTGATGTGCTAGAGTACAGCTTGGAAATCTTTGGGAAAGCAAACATACATGTTTTCAAAATCAAAAGGCTTCAACCTTGTTGGAATAAATACATAAAAATATCTAGGATTACCTGTACACAGAGTAGCTGCTTGTTTTTTGTGGACAAGTGGTATAAATGAAGTAAGATTTGAAACAATATTGTCATGTTTATGCCATCTCTCTGAAAGCTTCTCCTCCTTTTTCCTCAAACAGGAAGCTGCTGATAGTTCATGCTTCTTAGAAGCATTGGAATGTGACAGCTTCTTTTTTTTCTTTGCAGTCATCATTAGAGGTTGGTTTTCCTTTCCCTCACTTACATTTCTAGAATGGCTCCGAAGCTTTCTTCTGGCATTATTACGTGTTGCACTCAAATCTACATCAGATTTGGCGAAGTCCATTCTACCACCAGCTTGAACCTTTTTCTTTGCTGCAGACACTGATGCAAGAGGGTTCAAGCATGCACTGGCTATATCAAAAGGTGGATTTCTTTCGGCATCACTATTTCCAACCAAGGAATCAATATCATATTGGACTTCATCAGCCAGTTTATCCATGTTCTCATTTTCCTCACCAATTGCGGAGTCCTCCTTGATAGGGAAACAAGTAAGCTCTGGGTTTGAGCTCAATTGTTTCTTTAAACTGCCCGAATGCGATGAGGTTCTTTCCCACAGCTTTCCAACAGGAGATGCATATGGACTTCCTGATTTCCACTTGAAAATGGCACCAGAGTAACCTACACAATCCGAATATGACATTTCTTTAACCTCATCCCTGACTTCCTCTGCACAACTGGTACTGTGTCTAAGCTGTTTATCAATATCTTCAGTATAAAATGAGGTGTTTCGTAAGTCCCCTTGTTCAAGAAGACCTTCAGGCAGTGATTGATACAAGGTGTGCGACCTGTGCAATTTGAGAGCAGATGATAGATCAGATGAAGGTCTCTGCATGCTAGCTGATCTACAAATCTGCTCCAGGATGCTAGCACGCTCGATTGTAGTCTCTGAAAGGGCTAACGCTTCAAAGTTAATTCCAGCTTCAGACACGTCAAGTTTTCCATCTGCTACCGGGGGATCAATGATGAAACCCTCATACATGGGTAAAGTATCAACTATATGAGTATTCACTACTTCATCATGTGACGAGTGAAAGAAAGAATGTGGGAAAACATTGTCTTCGACAAAGTTAGAGTTATGTTTTAGAACTATTTTCCCTGTATAACTTATGCTTCCACTATTATCTACTAAACCAGCACCATTCTTATGATTCAAGGCACTTTTGATGTCATGTTCGTCAGATCGCTTACATGCATCAAAATTAGGGCCATCCGGAATTTCTCCTCCTGTTTTCTCAATTACGTAACCAGAACTATCACTGATTGCTTCTTTCGTTTTACTTGATACCTGGAGTACTCCATCTTCGAGATCGGTAGGAGCATGTACTTGTTCATTTGGTGTGTAGCATCCATCTGTATTTAGTGTTGCACATTCTGGATCTCTTACCTTAAACATGCAGTTATTAGAATTGACCAAGTTCAAACCCAATCCTTCGGGCGCATGGTGGTCCACCATTGGGCATAGTTCACTAGTTAAGCTGCCTACACAAGAATCTTCTTTTAATACATCTTTTACTTGTTTTTCAATAATTTCCACACCTGTGCTCTCAGAGGACATTTTTATGTTACAATATTTAGGCATCTGGGAATTGTGAGAGGCAGAAAAGCAATTACTTAGTTGATCTTCAAGCTTTCTCCTCTTCACTTGAGGCCAAGAATTAACTGTAGCAGATATGGATTTCCTTTCGAGCAAAGGAAAATCCTGGGCAATTTCAGTTTTCTTTGATTCAGGGAGTCTGAGATTTGTATCATTGCATCTATCCCCTATAAAACATGTAATATATAGTCAATGACTCAATAAGCCCTTTGCTAACATTAACTTGGAAAATCTCTAAAAGGAAATTTGCTTTTTAAGACAAGCTTGATTACCCTGAACATAAAGCTGTCCTCCAGGAGCAGATGAACTCGTCATTCTATCATCATTTGGAATTTCATCATCCAGCCACTTCTGATGATCTCCAGTAGACATATCAGTCAATTTCGAGATGCAAGACGCTGCAAAAGTTTTACTCTCACTAGCACAGGACATACCTTCATCATGCCTTTCACATTCAGAAACTCCCTATACGAATGGTAGAAATTTAGCTTGAAAGAATTAAAAACATGGATGGGTAATAATCTACTACATGTACACAACTCTATCATTATGAGTATAATTATTCTCGGCCCGTCCTAAAAAATTCTTCCCGCATTGACTTGGCAGTTCGCACAGCTATTAGGGAAGTAAATTTGTGTGGTTGAGGTTTATTTATAAAAGGTAGAAACAATATTTCACACAAAATTCATCCCTTAAAAGGATATGGGAAAAATATTTCTGGACAGCCCAAAAAGAAAAATATGTATCGATTCATGTTAGCCGACCCCAATATCGTTTGGGACTAAGGCTTGGATGTTGTTGTTGTTGTTGTTGTTATTGTAGAGTATTACACAATAATAGCAATTCAAAAAGAACTTTCAAGATAATTATTTCAGGAAAATTAAACTACTCTATAAACCCAGAGTTTCTTCTTTTTCAAAATACATATGCAATGTCAAACATGAAACACCTGATGATAAGATAGGTAACTGAGAAGTACTGAAAAGAAGGGTAAAGCAAGCAGCATAAAGCAATAGCTTATGATCTTAAATTTAATATTACTATTACCTAACAAGGAATACATAGACAATCATTTATGTTCACCACCCTGAGATTGGACTAATTTATTCCATATATTGTGATGCACTACAGTGAAGAGTGGAGACACAAAAAATAGTACCCGCAAAATACTGTTAAGACTGATAACTAATCAGAAAAAGTAAGAACACCACAAGAAGTTGCTTCAAAAGTCCCCTAGCAAACCTATTGACTACACCAGATCTCATGGACCAAAGAAACACATAATTGTCAGCAAAACTTCAGGTTCACAGGGAAAAGATTAAATATGTCTTCATAAATTGTAAATAAAAAAATGTGGATGAGTCATACCACTTCTAGGTATGGTTCAATTAAAGACTCTGATCTATCTCTTGGACTACGCTTCCTATGATGATGTTTTGCATCAGAACTATTAGAAGTGTTTGACAGCATGTAATCTCCAGGTGGAATATTAGAATTTCCAAAACACGGAAAGGCCTCTGGATCACCTAGACCTTTTGGAGTGTGAACTTTTATGTCCACTGCACATCTCTTAGATCTGTCATGGTCTTGAAGGGTGAGCTCGACGGGTAAGATTGAAAGTCTAGTTACTGTGTTACAAGAATCTAGCTTCAGATTGACATTCTTTTCTGAAATTGTAATATCTGGACTGCTTGAAGGTACACCCCTCAATGAGAAACGATTTAATGTAGTACAACTTCTTTCTTTGTTTGTTACGTCCAAGTTTACATCTTCAGAATTACAATGAGTGTACCCCTTCAAGTTAAACTCTTCCATGTCATCAAAGCCAAGTTGCTTTGGCTTCACTTGCATTAAGCAATCAGAATGAAGAGTTGCAGCTAGACATTCCAAACCTTTTCTTTCACTGGTTTTACTCTGACTATTTTGGGGAACAATATACTCTGATGCATCAGCTTCCCCATTTCCCAGCTGATTATAGGCACCACATTTCACAGGACTTATCAAGATGGCATTATCATGAGGCACATCCTGAACGTACTGGTTTACACACGGAGACTTCTGTGAAGCAGCAGACTTGGTCCCAGCACCACCTAAGGAAGCAATGCTATATACATTACCAAGACTTGGTATGACTTCACAACCAGAATAACATTGTGGCTCTGAGCTTCTATTGTCTAGCTCAAAAGAAGACTGAACGGATTCCAATTGCTGCTTACTATCAACAAGCTTATCTGATGTTTCCCTGGAAGACTGAGAAGCTGTGTTTTCAGTCACCTTGGCTAAGTAAGAGCATGCATCCACCTGTAGAGTTTCCCTGATGGAAGGGCGCTGCTGGATAGAACTCATAGACTTTGTAGTCCTCCCACAATAGGTGCCTGTTACCTTTTCCTGCGAACAACTATAGCATTTAATTGTTGCATTGCACCCATCATGGATTTTAGCAGTAATACCAGATGAGCTTATAGTCACCGATTGATCCAGCAGTCCAACAATAGAGTGTGCTAGACCACTATTACTCTTCCTAGCTATACAAGATCTATTCTCTGTAAAAGAATCCCGCACACATTTGTGTTGTTCTAAGGAGCTTCTGGAGATTGTAACTCCACCTGTCTTCACATCCATCTCTTTTTCAGACATAGAAGACTCAGGAAATTTGTGGGGCTCAGTAACTTGTTCAGACCTTGTACTGTTATCAATCAAATTTTCACTCTCTGGACTACTCCTTTCTGCTGGGAGCTCATAGTGACCACTAACAGGCATAGACTGCTCAGGAAATTTGTCAGGCTCGGTGACTTGTTCTGACAAAGAAGCAGAAAGATCAATACCAGTAGAGGTGACATCAGATTTATTCTTAATGCTTGAGTGGCTCCTAGATTTTGCATTTGCGCTATTGCGTAGTTCTAGAGCCTTTTGTCTAGACTTAGACCTCTGAATTTTAACTAGCGACTGAACTGGAGCAGCTAAAGTGCTTTCAGTTCTTGTGTCTATCTCATCTTGAGGCATGGTAACGCCTGCATCTAGCTGAGGAAGTGAACTGAGAGCACATTCATTGTTGCAATTATAGACAACAGCTGGACTATTTGGCCCCGCAGCCCCCGCTCCATCTTGAAGATCTGCACCGGAAGCACGAGTTTCCACAAATGCCCCATCTGATAGCTCCGCATTATTTCCTGTGACCAAACTCCCCTTACATATGGAGTGACGAGCATCCTCATATGTAGAAGGCCAGGCACGGGGAAGTACAATATCAGAGATCAGCTCATCTTTGTTCAGCTCTGGCAAACAATAAATACAACAAAACAATTCTTCCGTGTCAGATACAATATACAAAATCAATTGATAATTTATGAACAACGGAATTGAACTGCTATTAATATTTTAATTAAAACTGAATATTGGAAAAATAATTAGATCCTAAGCCACAAAAGTGTCACCTTTGGATATAGCCTGAGGTCAGAAATCACTACAAACAAAATTTCATTTCTCAAGTTCTTAAACTTGTCCACGACCGAAATGAAACCCTACAATAGTAAATCCTAGAGTAATGGCATATATAACCGAGAGAAACTCGCAAACGCTCAAAAGAAAGAATCATATAATGGTTTACCCTCGAGATTCGAAGATTGATAGGGGTTCCACAGCCAAGAAGGAGGAGTAATTCCTTGAATGAGGAGTTTGGAAGCGAGGTGTTGGCTGTACGAATCAGTCTGCCGCTTCACTTGCTGGAGGATCGAAGTCTTCCGCTCAAAGATCTGCGCGAATAGCTTCTCAAGTGTCGTCATCTTCACTGGAAGCGCACCGGCTGTTACAGGCTCCATTTCATCACAACTGTACCTGTGTCTCTGAGAGAGCCGGCGATTGGGAAATTTTCAGGTCGCACGGGCGCGCATAAAATTTCAAATTTGGAGATATGATGGTGGAACAAACGGGAAACGACGACGTGGGCAACGTTCGGCTATAATTGGACCGGATTAATAAAGGCAAAAAAATAAAAACACTCCGAAGTCCAAACTTTGACGAAGTGGGAAGTAAATATCCTAAACTTGCATTTGTAATTTAAATATATCAAATTTTATATGAAAAAAAAAAGAAATTGACCAATAAAGGAGTAAGCATAAACATAATTGCACTAATAGTAGTGAAACTTAAAACATCCTTCAATAGGAGTAAACATTAATTTTGTACCATTAATACTCCTAACCTAGTTAATTCTAAAATATGATTTATTTGATCTTAATAAAATATAAACAAATTATAAAATATTTGAATATATATATTAAAATAATAAAAGTTAAAAAATATTTTTTTAAAAAATACAAAACTTTAAAAAAATAGATAAACAACATTAAAAAAAATTATGCAGGCCTTTCCCGCATCCTCGACCATCACCCAGCAATGTCACCTCCGATCGGCAAAAAAATGTCATTTTATGTTAAAACTGACATTTTTCTTTGAAAATGCCATAAAGGTGCCAGTTTAACTCTTTGAAAATGCCAAATTTTCTCAAAATCTGCCATCATGATGGCGTTTCGGAAAAATGTTGGCTTTTTCGGTGGTCAGAGCTGGTGGTGCCGGGAGGTTGTTGAGGCGGCGGCACGCGCCTGCATGTTTATTTTTAATTTTTTAATTTTTTAATTTTAATTTTTTAAGTTTTTTATTTAATATTTTTATTTTAATACTTTTTATTTTTATTAATTTTACTTAATACCAAGTATGTTTTATTTGATATATTTTTGTGTTTTTTCATTTTTTACAATTTTATTATAAATTAATGTTATTCCTTTTATGTTTTAATTATTAATAAAAGTTGTTGGGCTTAGGTAGGGATATACTTGTTCAAACACTAAAGTTACACTTATTCAAAACATTGTACTCCTATTTTTGCATTTTGCCTATCTTTTACTCCTATTTGGGGAGTTCTCTCTATAAAAAATTACTTTTACGCCATCGTTATGTATTATTTCTTTCAAAAATGTAAATTTATGGGGTTAACTGCATAATTTAAAATAGAAAATTAAAAGTGTGGCAATTACGATAGTATATAGATTGGGGATAACATTATTTATTTTACAATGGAAGTTTATAATGTTAATTGTGTCTTCATGAATTCTAAAATATCTTAAATTATGCAATTGGCATCATAAATTTACATTTTTGAAAGAAATAATACTTGACTTTGGTACCAAAATAACTTTTTATATAAAGTTTGGGGTATTTAAAATACATATATGCAAGTTTAGAGTGTTCATCTCACATCTCTTCAAAGTTTGGGATATTTTAATTATTTTCTCATTAATAAATGAGAAATCTTCTGCGGAATATTATACAAAAGTTGAAGAAAAATGGTTATTTTGCCACTCAAAGTATGATTGTAAACGAACCGAATCGAGTCGAATAGTGTGATTTTGTATTTATATTTGTTTAACTTTTTCGAATCCGAATTCAAATTCAAATATGTAACGAATATTATTTTAGATTTGTATTTGTTTAATAATACAAATAGTTAACGAACCATATACGAGTATCAAATCCGTGGTTTGGTCATAAGTTTAATATTAGTCAAATATCAATTTAAAACAATTTTTCCTATATTTATTATGTTATAAATGCATGCTAACACTTAATATGTGTTTTTTTAATTTGTGACATTACAGTTTTCTTTAAAAGTTGATGGATTGATGCATTTTTAGGTTGTGCATAATATACCGAAGTGAATCAATTTTATGATTACTATACATAATTATACTTCAAAGTTTTTGATGGTCCGCTGAATTGACTGCTGCCCAAAGTGAATTGTTGCCTATCACCAATAACGTCGATGATGTTAATGAGGCTCTACCCAGAAATGATGATCCACAACATGATGGTACTACACTTAGCTTGGCTCGAAATCATCCAACGATGATAATATATTTGAGGAAAACCATGTTCTTTTGCAAACTATTTCAGGTCACACACACCCCCACCCTGAAGAGGAGGAAGGTCTCAAATGATTTACACAAGTTACTAGAAGAAGAAACAAAAAACAAAAGTCCGGGCAAATTCCCGAATGCCGACCAACAACACACGCAACAATACTACCGCGTTGGATGGACCTCACACCCAATAGCGACTAGAAGTCATTCTCACAAACCTCAAAATGAATCAGATTACTTCCTATACTTGGTAGACCAGAGGTTTGAATCACCACACAAATTGGTTGCAGCTGTCAAGTGTTATAAGTCTTCCCGCCCAGATGTTAGAACTAATCAACCATATCTTCAGAAGGCGATCAAGTTCCACAATAGATTCAACAGGAATATCTCATCTACTCTTAGAATTCCCACAACAAATTTCAACTGCTAGTTTTCTTTTCTTTTCTTGTATGTTTTTATATTATCTATTATATCTTTTAACTCTTTATTAATAGAGTTAAAAGAGTTCTAAATTTTATCTAATTTCAACTCTTTATTAACCATTTTTGCTTGTTGAACTCTATTTTGTAACTTTAAGTTCTAAATAAATTTGGAAAGTCTTCCCCGGTGCTTTCCCCATTTCCAGTGGATTCTCTGGGTCAAAAAAAATGGATGTGTTCCCCGGCACTCCCCCACCTTGTGTGGTAATCTCCGGGGGGGATTGCAGAGCTTACAACAACTAGTTGCTGCTATAACCACTACTGCTCACCGCACAAATGCAATGCATGTGGTATAAGTGATTTTTTTTTCTCTCTGTAAATTCTAGATATGAAGGTCACTATTTTTTTGTATAAGTACTTACTACTTAGAGCTAACTAATTTTGCTAGAATTGGACAACAACAAAGTATAAAAATGGTTTTAATGCACCAAATCCCCTCGTGAAATATAAATTCGGCGTGTAAGCCCCTTGTGATTTAAAAATGCACAAAATCCCCCTGGGTTATGATTATTCATGCGCAAAACCCCTTCTATGAACAAATGTAATTGCTAGAAAAATGAAAAATAATTAGTTTTTTGTATAATTTAGAAATTTTGACAAAGTTACTTGGATACTAAAGCATATTATTAAGAAAAGTGAATTCAAAATTGTAAAATTTGTTCTTGGTTGGAATTTTGCGCATTAATAATTATAAAACAGGGGGGGTTGACGCATTCTTTAAATCACAAGGGACTAATGCGCCGAATTTATATTTGACGAGGGGGTTTGGTACATTAAACCCGTATAAAAATATTGCACTCATAGTTTTTTACTCAATGTAATATCAAAGGTCTGAAGATCAAAACAATATTATTATATAACGAGTGTTGGGGTAATGGCCCGACCGTGGGCCGGTCCATTACCCCTTGGCAGATGAAGCACCAAAGCCCAATCGGCGTGGTCCATCAAGATGCTAGGACGATGTGCGTCGGATGCTCCGAGGACGCTTGGCCTCAGCAACCTTGTCCAAACAAGGGTCACGGACCGTGCCAGAGTCTTTAGCCAAGCACATGCGTAGGTCGTACAAATTCTGGTGCTTGCATGCATCAGGGCCTCAGGGCCCAAGACATTGAGGACGCTCGTCTGCAGCCCTTGGCGGGAAACCTAGATATTGGCGGGAGACACATTTAATGTTGTAGATTTGGTGGTTCAGACACTAGCCACCCACAATCCTCCACATCAGCAACACTACATACCCCTTTGTAGTATAAACAGTAGCATTTATTTCACCGTAAAGGGTTGACAACTTATTATCCTTGGCAAATAGCAATTATCTAGCTCTTCTTTACTGAATTAGATGAACGGCCTCGGGTCTTGTAGTTGAAGTGTGTTGTATATGGACCCTTATTATCACTTAATAAGATACAGCACACTTACTACTCTTTATTTGACCATCTTACTTGCATGCACCTCATATCCGTCTCACTCTCCACTCGAAAACCTAGGGAAACATGTTGGGCCATCAGGTTGCCCTGAACAACAAGTTTTTTACTTTTTTTTTTTTTTTTAACCCGGAAGGTAAACCACCAAAATCGGTGGGGTAAATGCCGGGGAACATTTACCAAATTTTATTAAGAAAATTTAAAAGATACAGATATGAGAGGGGGACTAGGCCAAAACCTCCCCGGAAGGCATACCTTCCGAAAAATTACAAGATGCTGAAGCATAAATAATTAAAACTATTTGGGGGGACATAAACCTTACCCAAAAATACAAGACGCAGCAGCCAAAACAAATAAAAATAATTTTGGGGGGACATAAACCTTACCCAAAATAAAGTACAAGAAATTAAAATCGCAAAAACGCCAAACCAAGTTTGTCTGCTAAAAAACATTTTCTAACGAAAATAGGCAAGTCACGGACCAAATAGAAAATCTGGAAATCAACGGTGTAGCATTTGGAAAGAGAGTGTGCGGTCCAATTAGCTTCCCTCAGGATATGTCCGAATGTTATCCTGTATTTGACGGACCAACACCTCAGATCTTCCACCATAGCCTTCCAAGCCCCTATTCCTGCACTTCCAATAGCTTTAATAACCTCGGCCGAGTCTGATTCAACCGCAAAATCTCTACAGCCTTGATCAATCGACCAAGACACTGAGGAGTGAAGTGCTACCATTTCCGCTTCTATAGCCGATCTTGCAACGATTGGAGAAGAGATAGCGAATACCAGACCTCCAACTGCCGTTCTCATCACCGCACCTGCTACCGCATCACCTGACCTGAAGGATGCATCGACGTTGAGCTTCGTCCCCGTCACCGGTAGTGCCCATTTCACCGCTTTAACAAACGGTCTGTGAAACTGAAAGGTATTAGGAATAAGCTTTTCCTCCCTTAATAATCTTCCTCCTGTAGACAACTTAGGGCGTTTGAAAGATAGAGACCAGTCTTGAGTAAAATTCCTGATTTGCTGAATAACTGAGTTAGCGGAGGGTGCAGACAAAAGATCCCCCCAAACCAGTTTAGCATAAATCTTCCAAATATGCCAAGCTATGATGCCTGGCATATTATG